GAACAACTCTAAAATCCTAAATTGTAATACACTCATGTATTACAATTCACATTTGAATAAAATTATTATTTTGCTTTTGCCTAAACCTTTTCTTTATATGAAAAATTACATTCATATGTACATACATGCATTTGAATACAATTATTTTTTTGTTTTTGCCTAAACCTTTTTGTTTATTTGAAAAATTACATTCATATGTACGTATACATATTTGAATACAATTATTATTTTGTTTTTGCCTAAACCTTTTCTTTATTTGAAAAATTCAATCCTATATCTTCACCTACAGTTTTAAAAAAATAGGCATAAATTCATAATTACCTATTAAATTTTCTTTAAATTACTATAATAATTTTTATTTGGTATATATTAAAAAAAATAAAACAAAAAATTTAAACAAAATAAAAAAAAAAAATTGTGAAAATAATATAAAAAAATCGGATGTGATCAACACATAACCGACCGCAATGTGTATTGTTTAGTTAAGTGAAAGTGTTACAGAATATTATAAAAATGTCTGTAGATACCTCTTTCCAATTTTTAGGACATTAGTAACCTTATAGTTAACATACCTAGAACAATGTAAATTTGGCGCTTAGTAGAGTTTCGCTTTGTACTACCTGAAAAATTACGACAATATCTAGGCAAGCATCGATCCAATAAGCTTCTGGCTATCAGACTGTAACGCTACCCACCATGCTACGCAGTACCTTCAATTTCCCTTTATAATTCTATATTTCATTTATATTTCGTATAACTCTTCAAAAACCATCCTATTTTACATTATATGTATATGCTTCTTCTCAGGTGCTATACCTAGGGTCCCAGAAAAATCTGACTTTGGAACTTTTTAGCCCTGAAATAGCTCTATTTTGAGATTTTCTGAAAAAATTTTTGAACAACAAAAGCACATTTTTCTTTTATACTTTATATAATTAGAAACACAAACCAAGAAAAAAATGATACGTTTTACGTTATTATTAGAAACACAAACAGAAAAATAAATAATATTTTCAAATATTATTTATTTCTCCGAAAAACTGTAAAATGCTAAATTCTAATACATTCATATGTACATACATATATATGAATAAAATTTTTACTTTGTTTTTGCCTTTTTTTTATTTGAAAAATTCAATTCTATATTTTCACCCACAGTTTTAAAAAAATAGATATACATTCATAATTATGCATGTTTGTACTTAAAATTTAATTTCTAGTTGTTCCAATATAAAATTTCAAAACGTTCAATTCTAATACATTTATATGTACATGCGCTCATATGTTCGAGCGAAAAACTCTAAAATCCTAAATTCTAATATATAGATATGTACATACATATATTTGAATAAAAGTATTATTTTATTTATGTTTAACCTTTTTTTTATTTGAAAAATTCATTTCTGTATCCCATGATTTAATAATCCCCCATGATTTAATAATTACGAGTATGTGTTTAAAATTTATATCTATATGCCAAACCATAGTTTTGAATATTATTGAATTCATATAGAAAGCTTAAAAAAAACTAGTTAGGAAGCTTTAAACAAATATACATAATTACATATTTATGTACTGTGAATGTTTCCAAACTATGGTAAGAATATTTTTTTGGAAATTTTCTTTAAACTTTTATAATAGTATTTATCTGTTATATATTAAAAAAAATAAAACAAAAAATTTAAACAAAATATAAAAGAAAAAAAGTTTTCAAAGTAATCCCAAAAAAGAAAACTACGGCAATATTCAGGCAAGCATCGATCCAATGCTTTTCTGGTTATCAGACTACCACGCTACCCACCAGGCTATGCCGTACCACAAGTTTCCCTTTATAATTCTATATTTTATTCATATTTCGTACAACTCTTCAACATATAATGTAAAACAGGATGGTTTTTGAAGAGTTATACCAAATATGAATAAAATATAGAATTACAAGGGGAAATTCAAGATACTGTGTAACCTGGTAGATAGCGTGGCAGTCTGATAAAAAGAAGGTTATTGGATCGATGCTTACCTAGATGTTGTCGTGTTTTCCTTTTTTTGGATTATTTTAAAAAAAATTTTTTTTATTTTCTTTAAATTTTTTGTTTTATTTTTTTTTTTAATATATAACAGATAAATATTATTATAAAAGTTTTGGAAAAATTCGCAAAAATTTACAGAAATAAATTTTTCAAGTAAAGAAAAGGTTTAGGCACAAGTAAAATATTATTTTTATTCAAATATATGCATGTACTCGTACATATGAATTAATTTAAAATTGAACATTTTAAAATTTTTCGTTCGCAAAAAGGTTTAGGCAAAAACAAAATAATAATTGTATTCAAATATATGTTCGTACATATAAATGCTATTTTTCAAATAAAAAAAAGGTTTAGGTATAAATAAAAAGTAGTATAGATATGCGGGGTCTGGGCCTGTCAGATGACGTTAAAAATATTTTGACAGCTGGTAATTAGAATTGGTATTATGAGATTGAATAAGATGATATTTTGGAGGAGTATTATGAAATTGAAATGATGATGAAGTTGAGTTGCAGTAGGTGTTGTGTTTTAGCACGTTGTAGAAGCAAGCGCCGGAGTTGTAGCAGCTTCTGAGAGCCGAGTTGTAGCGGGTTCTAGGAGCCGAGTTTTAGCGGGTTCTAAGAGCCGAGTTTAGCAGGTTCTAAGAGCCAGAGGAGGTTCGGGCCAGGTTATAAAGGTTGGGGCAGTTGAGTTGTAGCAGGTTCTAAGAGTTGGGGCAGTTGAGTTTTAGCAGGTTCTAGGAGTTGGAGGAGGAGGAGCCGCGAAATTGTCATAAAAATGTAAAATGAAAACTTTTGATATAAGAAAATTTAAAAAATATTTTTGCGGTTTTTTTTAAGTTTTATAAAAGACAAGAAATTTTATTAAAACTGTATTATAAAAATTAATACGATACTATACTGTATGATCTTGAAAAATGACGTCAACAGATTTTCTACAATATTATGAAATGATAATTATTACAAAGTAATATTATATCATGATAATAAAGAAAAAACTTTAAAAATTGATTGTCAAGAGTACATCGTAACTGTTGCTAAAAGACTTACAAGCAGTGGTGAGTTGGAGACATATACCGCTTTCAATACTGATTATCAGTCTTCAGCAGATACAATATTAGATTTACGCAAGGTAAAGCAAACTTACCATATGGAAATATTTTTAAATATTTTAATTTTCAAATAATTTTTAATGTATATTGAATATGCTAAATTTCAAATAATTTTTATTGTATTTTGAATATATGCTGGAAATAAAAGAAGTTTTAAATAAAACAGATTTAATAAAATTAAATCTGTTTTATTTTTCCAAGAATTGTAGATCGATGGAAAACCAAGCTATTTTACAAAACTTTATCATTTTTAGTTTTTACAATTTTTTCTACTAAATAAACGTCATTATCTTTAGATTTAAGCAGCTCATATTCATAGAAACTACCCTCAATTGGTTTACCTTTGTAGTCTTTCAATAAATATGTTACTAATATCTGTACTTTTCTTATCTTGAATATTTCGGAAGTCCAGTTGGGTGTATAACCTTTTTCAAAAACATGTTTAAACTTGCTTATCCGAGTCACCAATTTTGAATTTACGTCGTTGTGAAATCTTAATATGATTGTATGCCCTTGGCCTTGACAACAACTCATTAGCATTATTTTTATTTATATCTGCTGGACGTCTTTGTATGGTTCGATCCTTTGTAAGATTGTATTGGTCAACTATTATATCAGTTATATCTTTCCATTTATAATTTCCACTGAAGTTGAATTCTTTCCACATTTTTTCTATTAAAGTTCGGTTGAAACGTTCCACAATAGAGGCCTTTAATGAGCTTTATGTAGAATAATTATAATTTTATAATAACTTTTATAATAACTCCACGTCCTTGAAATTTTCTTTTTGATGGCTTATTCAACTCTTCAACAACAGCTCTCTTACTCATCTTAACCATAAATAATTAAAACAAATTTTTTATTATAAATTCTTATTTTATTTTTTTTTTATTTTTTCATACAATCGCATTAGCTTTAGAATTATAAGCATTATTTTTTAAGCTGAAAAGCACGGACAAGTTTCAGGTAAAGAATCGGAACAATGCGAAGAATATGGGCATATTGAATAATGGAATCCATGGTCCTCTATAAATATCTGAGTAGAGTCTTTGAATTGCAGTAAAAATTTAAAATGATCCTTTGATTTATTATAATGCTCCTCTAATAAATTATCCTCACATTTATTTAAAAAAATATTTAATTTATATCCTATTCGCGATATATGTATCTATTTTGAAGTCGCAGCTGTTCAATATATTATATTGATCTATCTCACTTTTTCTTCCTTATAATTGCATTGATTTTTTAGTAAAATATGCTTCCATAAAGGCTTCATTTAAAGTCCCTATTCCATTATCTACATATATTTTTTTAGCAGTATCATTGTTATTTATTGGGGATCTTAAGCTTATTAATTGTTTATTTTGAATATCATAATCTCCATCCAAATTTGGTTGAAACCCAATTGTTTGAAAAAATTTTAGCTTCGTTAAAAGCATATGGATTATTTCGACTATGGCCGAGCATATCTATGCTCATTATGTTAGTGATGACGTATTTCAAATATTATTCGATTATATTAACTTCCCTTAGTTCTTAGATTATTATCATTAGAATCATCCCCATAGGTATATTGAACCGACTGCTTTGAATACATCATAGAGGATGTCTGGGACTTTATAGTAAATTTCACTTTAGTTAAAGATTCCTCTATTTTTTTCCTCGTGTGTTATATTCGTGAATGTAGAGCTTTTTAATAATATTTTGATATTTAAATCCCTTATCCAGTTCGTTATTTGACTTCGTAGCGAGTAATTGTGTAGCGATCGTAAATTTAACAAGCAGAAAAAATAGAAAAATATATAAAAATAAGTCGTAAACGAACGCCCCATCTTTTTTCCGATGCTGAATCACCAGCAAAAATGGATAGTAATTCTAAAAAACAACGAGGAAAAGTAAATTTGGATGTACCCACTACTAATTATTATGCTCCTTTAATGCAAATTAGCATTTGTGATGGTATGGATAGTGAAAATAATGATAATTCAATTGCAAATACTAATAATCCAATAGTAGATGCTAATAATAAAAATCTATAAAAAGTAAATTCATACCACCAGTAACTTTAATTAAAAACAACACTAATTTCGTTCATAATTTAATGAAAGAAATTAAAATAAACAATTATTACATAAAAACAATATCTTTAAATATAAAAATTTATTGTAAAAGCACATTAGATTACACACTACTTTGTGACACACTTAAAACAGAAAAATGTGAATGTGATTTTAAAAACTGTAAATCATTTTGTCTGGGTTAGATAAAACTGACTCAAGTGAACTTAAATCAACCTTAAAAAACTTAGATTTAAAATACATTGATGTTAAGGAAATAACCACAAACAATTTATATAATAAACAAATATTTTTATACTTAATTTACTTTGAAAATAAAAGTATTAAAATGCATGACTTAAAAACAAATTTTTGCTATATTAATCGCACTAAGGTTAAATGGAATTACAAACTAAAAAATCAAAACAAATATACACAACGCCACAATTGCCAGTAGTTTGGCCATGGTGCAAAAAATTGCCATATCAAGCCCTACTGTGCATACTGCGCTGAAAATCATCTTTCAACAAATTGTCCAAATAAAAATAAACAAAAATGCGCTAATTGTAAAGGCGCACATTTTTCTACCGAAAACACTTGTCCGAATAGACAAGCTTTTGTCAACATGAGAGCACGAAACAGCACTAAAAAGGCCGCCGGTCCAAATAAAACTAAAAATTTTATATCGATTTCCTGTTACTCTTGGTAATAAAAATCAACAACAACCTAATATATTCTAGAAGAATTTCCAACAAATTGATAATAACATTAATAGTAACCCTAATTTGAATTTAAGTAATTCTAATACTAACATCAATAATATTACAAATACTAAAGAATCAAATATGAATTCAGGTAATAATAAAAACCTAATTACACTTGATGAAATTATAAATCTTACAAATGAAATTCTGTCCAAGTTAAGTCTCTGCACTAATAAACAACAACAATTTTGTGTTATTACTGAATTAGCAACAAAATATTTATATAATAATCATGTATCATAAAACAAGTCTTAAATTAACTCATATTATCGAATGTTTATTACATTCATATTTTTGTAGTTCATTTTTTGAAATTATTTTTATACTTATAATTTTAAGCATAACTCATCAAATTTTTTTTGTTTCATAAATATGAATAATATAAATATAAAGCTTAAAATTGTCACATGGAATGCCAGATCATTCTACAAAAAAAGAATTGAAACTTTTAATTTCTTAAAAACATATGAAGTTGATATTGCCTTAATTAGTGAAACATGGTTAACTTCAAAAGATAAAATCAACAATGATTACTATCACATATACAGAGTTGATCGTGGTTCCGCGAGGGGAGGTGGAGTAGCTATAATTATTTCAAAACGCTTAATTTATTCACAGTTTATTAAAATCTATTGAAACTAAATGCATAGAAAATATTGTTGTGGAAATTATCTTGGATGACAAGATTCCTCTAAAAATTGTGTCAGTTTATTTTCCCGGAAATAAGGCTAAAATTATACGAAATGAAAATTATCCCCTGATAATAAAGAATTAAAAAACTTGTTCAAATCTGACATTTTGAAATTTTCTAGGATAAGCAGAAATTATTTAATTGGGGGAGACCTTAAAGCCAGAAATAGATTCTGGGGATGTAATAGAGCTAATGGCTGGGGAAATATTTTGAATGATCTAAATACTAGAGATGACAACTTTTGTATCCTTTTCCCACCAGATCCTACATACATCCCATCTAATGATACTTGTATGCCATCTGTTATTGATCTTTTTCTTACAAATAATTCTAATTTATTTACACAGCCGGTAACCCTTAATAATTTATCGTCTGACCATCTACCTGTATGTATTGAACTAGATAGTACCTATCAAATATCGGTTCCTACTAAGGCGATTAAGACATTCAATAAACCATTTCCTACGTCTATACAAACTCTAATTAATACAAGAAATGTTATTAGAAGAAAATGGATTAAATTCAGGCAATTAATATTCAAAGCTCAATTAAAACATATCAATTGTTTAATTAAAAACAAAATTTTAGAACACAGAAATATAGGTTGGAATAAGACTCTAAACTCCTTAGACACAAATAGTAAACCAATGTGGAATTTGTGCAAAATTATTAAAAACAAAAATCGAAATATTCCTGTTTTGAAAGTAAATAATGATAAATACATTACAATGAACGGAAAAGCCAATGTTCTGGCAGAGGTTTTCCATTCTAAACATAATAAAACCTTGAATTTTAAAAATTCTGAATTACAATACACAATTAATACAACGTTACATAATTTTAATAATAATCCTATTAATACTTTTGACATTGAAAATTCTATAACAGTCGATGAAGTAGTTCATCATATTAAAAATCTAAAAAATGTAAGATCTCCTGGCGTTGACAATATCCCTTCAATATGTATTAAAAAATTGCCCAAAGAAGCTACAATAGTTTTTACTGCAATTCTTAATAACTGTTTAAGATTAGGGTACTTTCCCGCTAGTTGGAAAATTGCGAAAGTAGCTATAGCTATAGCTAAACCAAATAAGCCACCTGACGATCCACAATCGTATAGGCCAATCAGTTTGCTAAATGTATTCAGCAAAATCCTAGAAAAAATAATCAAGGTCAGATTAACAAACTTTCTTGATGCAAATAATATACTCCCAAATGAACAATTCGGGTTTCGTACAAAACTTTCTATGGTACACCCATTATTAAGAGTTAAAAAGTACATTAGCAATAATACTGAAAATAAAAAATCCGTAGGGATGTTAGTGCTGGACATTGAGTCTGCATTTGACACGGTTTGGCACAACGGTTTATTGTACAAACTAAAAACTATTGGTGTCTATGATTATTTAATAAAAATTGTTGAAAGTTTTATAAAAGACAGGGAATTTAGAGTTCATATAAAAAAAATCACCTCAGACTCATATTCCATACCAGCAGGAGTACCACAGGGCTCTGTCTTGGGGCCGATTTTATACAATATTTTTACTCATGACATTCCGATTACCAGAAACGTTAATAAGTGCATTTTCGCAGATGACACTGCTATATATACATCTGGCTTGTATGGCAACGATATAGTGCATGACTTACAAAACGCTTTAAATTCTGTTCCAACATACTTTTATAATTGGAAAATTTTATTCAATCCTGAAAAAACCAATTCAATATTTTTCACTAAAAAAAAAAGATTTGTTATCTTCCACCCACCAATTTAAAACTTAATGATGTGTCTATACCTTGGGTTGATAATATAAAATATCTGGGAATTTATTTCGATAAAAAACTGACATTTAAAGAACATGTACACAAAATAATTAATAAACTTAACTGAACAACCCGAATATTATACCCTTTTATTAACAGAAGGTCCTTACTTTCGAGAGATAATAAATTGACCATCATGGAGGTAATTTTCTTACTAATATTATTGTATGAATGTCCTCTTATTATTGATATAGCTAATACTCATATTCAAAAACTACAGGTAGCTCAAAATAAATGACTTAAGTTAATACTCAACCTCCCTTTTTACTATTCTACAAGAAAACTTCATACTCAAGCAAATTTCGAACTATTGTCAATTAAAATTAATAATATAACAGAAAAAGTACTAGAAAAATGTTTAATATCCGAAAATATTCTAATTAGAAATCTAGATTATTAAAATGATTATTAAAAGTTTCTTTATTTTCATTAATGAAATATATTTTTAATAGTAAAGTAAGTTAGTTCTAAGTAGTTATAAATAAAAAAAAATCTGATGTGGTCAGCACATAACCGACCGCATTGTGTATTGTCTAGTTAAATGAAAGTGTTACAGAATATTATAAAAATGTCTGTTCTTCTTTCCAATTGTTAGGACATTAGTAAGCTTATAGTTAACATACTTAGAAAAATGTAAATTTGGCTCTTAGTAGAGTTTCGCTTTGTGCTACCCGAATTCCCTGAAATGCTCGCCAGTTAGTTTGGGTAACAACCAGAACTCAAATATCAAATTTCAAGAAATTCCATCAATTTTTTCTGTGGATATGGTGAAAAATGTAAAATCGGCCCGCAAATCAGTTCTCGAGCCCTGATCTTTCCAAAAAAGTTATATGTTCATTGCTTTAATATGAGCAATTCATATATTAAATTTCAATTAAATCGGTTGATTATTTCTCTTTATATACACAAAAGTGTATGTTTGGCCCGTAGTAAACGTCTAGTTGCCGATGCCTGATCTTTCCAAAAAATTTACATGTTCATTGTTTTAATACGGGGAATTTATACATTAAATTTCAATGAAATCGGTTGATTATTTCTCTTTATATACACAAAAATGTATATTTGGCCCGTAGTAAACGCCCAGTTGCTGATGCCTGATTTTTTCCAAAAGTTAGGAATTTTTGCGTATGATTGAGCAAAGCTTATATATGAAATTTCAAGTAAATCGGTTGAATACTTTCTTCAAAATGGTGAAAAATGTAAAATCGGCCCGCAAATCCGTTTTCGAGCCCTGATCTTACCAAAAAAATTACATGTTCATTGTTTTAATACGAGGAGTCCATATATTAAATTTCAATGAAATCGGTTGATTATTTCTCTTTATATACACAAAAATGAATATTTGGCCCGTAGTAAACGTCTAGTTGCCGATGCCTGATTTCTTCCAAAACATACGAATTTTTGCGGACGGTCGAGCTGAGCTTATATATAAAATTTCAAGTAAATCGGTTGAATACTTTCTTCAAAATGTTCAAAAATGTAAAACAGGCCCGCTAAAAAGTGCAGTTCCCGAGGCCTAATATATACCAAAAGTTGATCGATCCGTGCCCTGGTGGAAACAAACTTACATATAAAATTTCATCAAAATCGGTTCAGCCGAACTTGAGATACACCCGTGCACACACAGGCCGACAGACGGACAGACCGACAGACCGCCAGACCAACAGACCGACAGGTTGCTAAAAATAGTTTATTTACACTTCCCTACTATGGAGAAGTACGTTCCCACCGAAAACTCGATATGCAAAATTTGTTGCCATCACATAACCTACCTATTGTTTACACAATACGGTCGGTAAAAATCAAAGGTAAGGTTTTCTCGTTTTCCTTGCAAAAATTACTGTAATCAATTATTGTAATGAAAATATTCCAGTTGTGTAGATTTAAGTAATCTGTTCTCTGTAAAGTTATAAATATGCATGTAAGCAGATCAATATATTAATAATAAATTAAAAACGAGAAAAAAAGTAGAGTTGACTTTGTCAATTCTGTGATACCCGTACGAATTTGTTATTCTATGTGCGAATAACTAATGTGCCATAATTAACTATGAGGCAGACTATGACTTTAAGTTGCCGTATTACCATATTAATTTATGCAAAATTTCAGTACTATGTGTTTTTCAAAATACTGGTTGTGCCAAACTACTATTGAAGTTGTATGGCAGCTACCAGAAAGAGCCAAGAAATTTTAGCGAATTTTATCAAGCACATCGGCCCTACTAATATATTCACTTGTGTGAAATCTCAATATCACAGTTTTTATAGTTTCTGAGATATAGCCAAATAACTTTTGAAGTTGTATGGCAGGTACCAGAAGGAGCCAAGTTATTTCAACGACTTTTATGAGACACATTGGCCCTACTAATATATTCGTTTGTGTGAAATTTCAATACCATAGCTTTAATAGTTTCTGAAATATAGTCAAATAACTTTTGAAGTTTTATGGCAGATACCAGAAGGAGCCAAGTAATTTCAACGACTTTAATGAGACACATTGGCCCTACTTATATATTCATTTGTGAGAAATTTCAATACCATAGCTTTAGTAGTTTCTGAAATATAGTCAAATAACTTTTGAAGTTTGTATGGCAGGTATCAGAAGGAGCCAAGTAATTTCAACGACTTTTATGAGACACATTGGCCCTACTAATATATTTGTTTGTGTGAAATTTCAATACCACAACTTTTATAGTTTCTGAGATATAGCCAAATAAATTTTGAAGTTGTATGGCGGCTACCCGAACCGGTACCCCGTTCACGTCCAATTTAAATAGGGTTCTGGCACTTACTACAATAAATCATTTGTGAAAATTTGGTGAACTTAGCTTAATTAGTTTTTGAGTTATCGTTCGGACGGACGGACGGACGGACAGACAAAGCTAAATCAACTCAGAATTTGACGCTGATCAAAAACATACACTTGAGTCTATATCTAACACCGTTATTTCTTAGCGTTACAAACGGTAAGGCAAATTAAGTATACCCTACGGGTATAATAATAATAATAATAATAATAATAATAATAATAATAATAATAATAATAATAATAATAATAATAATAATAATAATAATAATAATAATAATAATAATAATAATAAATGCCTTATTACCCTTAATTTGGTCTAATGAATTATGATTTCCCCGATGGGTGTTGGTTTTTTCCAATATGTTTTAATATTGCTTCAAATCATTTTCGGTATAATTTTCAGGTTTCAATTAAAATATCAGATCATATAAGCCTTCAGTGCCCTTAAAGATCTGCCCGTCAATTATTATGTGATTGTTTTCTTCATAAATGTTGCATTACCTTATCTCCCGATTCCTAAATTATGATCAAAATAAGGGGCATAACTTTTATCAAGCTGTGATTTCTCGTAATTATGTGGAGGTGACAATGATGATTCTAACTTATCACTTTTGAATTTGTAAATTTGATTGTGTTAGGAGTTGATGTTAAAAAACTTTCGAACTCGGATTTTTCCCTCTTTGGTGTTTTTATTTAATAAATTTTCGGTGCTGTACTCTTCCTGTTTCACTTCCCATTTTACTTCTGGTTTTATAAATGTGGAGGGAGATTAGGCTTAATAATTTGAATGTATTTTCCAAAATTTCATCATGCATAATTTGAGCGACTTTTAATGGTTTGTATTTTCTTTTTAATTTTTTTCTAACTTTAATTAAATTTTTCAATACTTTTTCATTCATGATTATTCAATGAAATCGTTATTATTAATTTAATATTGAACTGGTATTGAACTGAAACTGATCTGATCTTGCCTGTTGTAGT